CAGTTCACTGATAACAAACGATGGAATACGGTGTGTGATGGACAGCCGGAGTTGGTCGGTTAACGTGTCAGGGATGTTTACCTCAGACGGTGTCTTGTACTATCTATCGTTTGCTCTCTACCGTAGATAGGTAAAGGTGAGAGGGTCGACTTCATTGCACCGGGTTTTATCCCACATGTCTCCCTCCGTAGAACAGTTAGCTGTCTCGCTCAAGCGTCGCAGAAAGCACGACCTCCGTAGCGCCGGCGACCATCCCAAGTGACCTCTGTACAAACTGCACTCGTGAACTTAACAACGCCGCCGTGAAACGAACCAAAGGTATTTAGAGCGCTTGCCCACTTCGCCATGAAGACCCCCTCAGTACTGTAAAATTTTTAGGCAACATAACATATTATTTTAGTCGCATCAGTGCGCTCAGGGGCACTGCGATCTGGAGCTTAGGCACCGTGCGTGCTGCCCTTCCCCCTCCCACACCCCAAACAAACTGGGGTGGGAGGGGGAGGGGCTGGTTAGACCAGGGTCATTTTAACGCATGGACCCCCGCTGGGCACTTGCTCCGGGGGGAGGGGTGGTACGGTTAAAGCGGCCCCACGCTGATCAATGGCTTGCCCTAAAAAAAATACATCTGATGTTTAAATTAATTCTGCGTGAAATAAAACCTTTCAAACTCACGCAGAATGTATAACATATATGGAATAGCGTCTATGAAAACAAGATGTTTAACGAACATTGTGCTAAAATGCGGAATGGCGAGTTTATGTAATTTTTTCTGTAGTATGTACATGTTGAGATGCAGCGAAATATGCCAGACAATAAATTGTGCATTCTATTGTTTTGTGTCTTTTGTGACTTATTTTTCCCCGAATGTTAAAATTGCAACTGAAGTGTGCATGTGCATGGAGATAACCTACTGTACAGGAGAGCGTTCTTTTTCAAGATTGAAACACTTTTAAACAAGATACTTTATTGTAAAGGAGGAGCGGCTGGCCGAACGGTTAGAACGCTGGCCTCTCAAGCGGGAGACCCTGGTTCGAATCCTCGGTAAGGTTGGGGATTTTTTTCTGTCGGGGGCAAAATAAAATCCTCTCCTGCACAGTCGTGGCGACAGCACTAGTCATGAGGCCGTAAATCCTCAGGCTCAAACCCACCTCCCCCCTCCCCCCGCCTACACCGAAAGAAGTAGTAAAAACAAGAGCAGTAATTGGCAGTTTGGCTTCGTAGCAAAGTGGTCAGCATCACATCAACTGGCTTTCACTCATGTGCATGGAAAGTGATATCACGAAGACCACTTATTTCAAGCCAATATTAAACTAACTGCGTAGTAATTTCATATTATGCCACATAATCTATTTGGCGTGGTCTGGCGGCTAGACGCTCGCCTGGGGATCGGAAGTTCGTGGGTTCGGTTCCCAACAAGGACCGGGTTTTTTTTCTTTAGAAATGACCTTGTCTCCCAGGTGGACCCAGCCTTGAGTGGGTATAACGTAGGTACTGGTAAGTAAGGACGGCAATTTGCATATGACTGAGGCCCTGTCAGGGTATTTTCTTAGCCTTGATAATTTGGGACCGTTATTCGGAGGATAGCCGATGAGGTTATAAAGAAAAAAAAAAGGGAAAGTATACAGGGGGATAAAGGGGGGGGGGGGGTGGGGGGGAGGTTGAAGCTGTCTAGCCTATCCACCCCAATTTTTGTTATGCAAAGAGGAGGCATCATCCCTCCCCCCTCCCACCCCCCCCCACCCCCCCATTTTCACCCCCCCCCCCCCATTTTCACCCATTTTCTCCCTAACCGCATCGGCTACCCTCCGAATAACGGTCCCAAATTATCGAGAAAAGAGGGGAGAGTCGCCTAAAAAATGTGTAAGGCATGGGTGGTGTGGGGGCGAGGGGTTCATCCCAAAGCCCAGAATGTGAATTCATCGCAACCAATGATTGATGTGACCAATGATTGATGTGACCAATGATTGATGTGACCAATGATTGATATGACCAAAATCAGGTTAAGTTAATTGCCAGATTGACTGCGGCAGAAATGTCTACAACTGATGTTGAGTTCTAGGTCGACTCTGTCTCAAGTCTGGAATGGGTAACAGGAAATCTCCTGGGAAGTAAACTGGCCCGCCAGTTTGGTTGGAAAGCACTCTATGTTCACAGTGTTACCATATACTGAGATCTCTGGAGATCGTTGCTGGAGCGTGAGTTCCTGCTTTGTGAGACTCCGTTGACTTGGGATAACCTGGTACAATAGAGTCGATCCTAGCGATTTTAACTTTAAAAGGACCAGCATCCAAGTGTGGTCACACTGCAGCTTATACTTTATATGATGTACAAATGTTTTTCAATAGCTCTTTTAGCCTCTTTTTCTATGTCACCACTTTTATTTTATTCATATCAATGACCTCAAGAGTTTACCAGCTTTTCTTTTTCTTATCTTGCCCTTGAAAAGGCGAGTGGTATGTTGTGTTAAAGTTACAACAAGGTTACCATGTATATGTCTGTCGGCTAACAGACGTGTAAAACGGATGTGCACGCAACACTGAGTTTCTGGAACAGGACTTGAGTTCAGAAGTGGACGAACAACCAGAACTTTCCGCCGGAGTTTATAGCCGGTGAACGCGAAATAGAAGAAAGTACACCTCTAAATAGTTCTTTTACGACATGCTTGTTAGCTGATGGTGGATCTGTTCTCTCTCCGCCCCCACCCCCCATTTTGTCCCCCCCTTACCCAGAATTTTAAAACAAATAAAGCTTTGGAACCCACACAGGAAAGTTTCCAAACATTAGATGTATTTATCAGTTCAGTTATGTATAAAGTATCATGTTTTATTTGATAAGGCCCATCTGACGTGCCTCTAGATAAGCCTCTGATTACTCTGACGTATTTATGTAGTTTGTCGCCTTGCCCAGGTCGATAGTTTTCTAGGCTCAATGAAATCAGCTCTGTTAGGCTCCTTCCAGGCTTAGTGATACAACAGGGACCTGGAGATGGAGGCGCCATGAGCGCTTCTCCCCTCCCCTTTCACCCCCCCCCCCTTACAGTTGAATATTTATGCTATTTTCCCTTTCTTACAAAACTTGTAAGGGTGCTTGACATCCTCGTAACAATGTACATAAACTCCCATGGTCTATAAACCCTGAGTTCTGAGCGTCGGACACACCCCGTGCTCCATCTCGCTGCACTGGAAATTATCAGCAAACAATTAATACATTCTAGTTGAAATCGTGAATTATGGAAACACTTGAACGCCCAAGCCAGTTAGCACGGCACTTGATGATGACATGTCCTTCTAACACTGAATGTAATAATTGTAAGTAACACTTCTACTAGTTTCGACTTCTTGTTCACAACCTTATACTCAACAATGATTTCATGTTCACAACCTTAAACTCAACCATTATTTCATGTTAACAACCTTAAACAGAAACAATTATTTCATGTTAACAACCTTAAACTGAAACAATTATTTCATGTTAACAACCTTAAACTGAAACAATTATTTCATGTTAACAACCTTAAACTGAAACAATTATTTCATGTTAACAACCTTAAACTAGAACAACTAACTATTCGGCCCGAACAATTAAAAATTAAAAGTCCTATTTCCGCAACGTGAGTTTTTAGGGTATATGACAGGAGCGCTGAAAGCTTTTGCAAAATGAACCATTCCATCACCCGCCCCCGCCCTTTTGCCCTTACCCACAGGGTGCTTTCCTTGAATTTGTAAAGGCAAGAGAGAGAGAGAGAAAGAGAGAAAGAGACAGAGAAAGAGAGAGAAAGAGAGAAAAAAAAAGAGAGAGAAAAAGAGAGAGAGAAAGAGAGAGAGAGAGAGAGAAAGAAAGAGAAAAAAAAAAGAGAAGAGAGCGAGAAAAAGAGAGAGAGAGAAAGAAAAAGAGAGAGAAAAAGAGAGCGAGAAAAAAAGAGAGAGAGAGAGAGAGAGAAAGAGAAAAAGATAGAGGAGGGGGGGGGGAGAGAGAGAGAGAGAGAAAGCAACTTTTAGGCGGGCGGTGACGAGAGCGAAATAAAGGACCCTCTGATTGATGCTGCTGATTTTACTTTCGGTCGATCCCAGAACTAAATCAGTTTGTAAAATCTACCCCTGATGGAGATTCGAGCCTATGAGCACCAGATCGGCATGCAACTGGGCTAGTAATTTCGCCACCGATGATTCCCCATCGTACCCACACAATCAATAGAGACTGGCTGCAGCTGCACAACTATGAGGTCCGGTGTTCCATTGTGCCAGTTGCATGGATGACTTCCCCTGTCGTCAAGACGTTTCTAGCAAGGCTAATTAGCCAATAGATTCTCCAAGACGGTGCCACGTGACCACGAGGAAGCCTGCGCTAAGAGACAGCAGTTTCCATGGTTGGGGAACGACAGACAGGCGAGAGCTTCTTCTACTGAGTGCTTCAAAGTAAGTAAATAGAAAGATACATCTTTAAACAGTCATGACACAAACGTTTTTTGCATACAAAAATAAAAGGTGTGAATATGACAGTATTTTAAACCCAAAGCAGAATTATATAAATAATATTAATAATTTGCCTAAACGTCTGATAAAATTATTATTATTCTTTATTATCATTTTAGACAGTATTATGAATAAAATAAGACAAAAGCAATAATAAACCCTTAACACTCAATGAAATTTTATATCTCAGTTGTAATCCTAAAAGTTGAACATAATATGTTCAAAATAACTACTACTAATAATAATATTTTTACATATTTTATATTATTGTTATTAGTCAGTATTAGTGCTATATTTATTTCTCTAAGGATATCAAGTATTTTATAGATTCTATAAAATGCATGAAATTTTCTTATTTTTTCGTCCATATCTTTCGAGAAATAACTATATCATTATATGTCTAAAAACAATAATATTTTGAAAAATTATCACTGCTTGCAACAACAAATTTTTTTTTTTAAATTAATTTATTTTTTAAGGAACAAAAATAATTCCTGATGGTAAGACAAAATGGAAGATAATATACAAAAAATGAAACCGGTCTGTGAAAGAAAGATCAAGGGAATTACCTGTGCATACAGGTAACAAAGGAAGATATATTTTGACAATGCCGTGAGATTACGATGTAACTCCCTCACTCACCCTTTCAAACAGGCTAAACCTGCAGATTCTAGCTAAGAAGGTGGCTAAGCTACAATTTCTAGTGGTCTACATCAAAGGGACCACATCGACACGTGGAGTATATTCAAAACATCAAGAATATACAATCATCTATAAATGATGGTGATGGTGATGATCCCCCCCCCCCCCCCCCCCCCCCCCCCCCCCCCCCCCCCACAATCCGTCTTTTTCTGTTGAGGTAGAATGAGCAATTTGCTTCTTTCTGATTCTCTTTTATTTGTGCATGTTTGTCCATGGCTGGTTTAGCAAACAAGTACTTGTAGTAAATCAGCTGTGCAGAAGAATACGTGGGATATGGGTTGGTACGAGGTTGGCTGTTAAATAGGCGCACAGATGGTAGATAACTGACAAATGAAATGGGGTAAAGAGAGCCTATTGAGACCTAAAAGTCTGATAAATGATTAATCAAATGATGTTTGTTGGATTATGCAATGAAAGATCTAGTAATATGGGAGAGTTGAATGTTTTCATGTGATACATAGCAACATTTCTAGCATCCCACATGAACTGTCTATAGATTATTGAAACTTTTAGAAATGTTCTATCTGTATCTTTTGTGGTAAGTAAAGAATTTAGAAGGATTGTCCTGTACATTTAGTTATTGTGCCAATGGCAACCCTAGGGGATGCAGTCTATTCTAAGTTAACATTACTGTAACTGCTGACCCTAGGGGATGTAATCCAGTGTTTGTGTAAGTTCACATAATAATGCTATTCTTTTATATGTAATACTGTTTGAGATTAAGGATAAGGGTTAGGGCTAATCCTACAGAAGCCCATACCCTAACGCTAACGTGAAGCATTATTATATATTACAGAATATTATTATGCGAACATAGATAATAAATGGATTGTCCCCCTTATCATTGTGGTAAACAGCCACTGATTGCGTCCCCCTAGGTTCGCTGTTGCAAGGAGCGCTAAAAATTAGCCTCCCCAAAATATTTTTGTTTAAATAAGTAACAGAGGAGACTTCACTATGTTATGAAAATCACAAATTATTTTGATAACAACATTTAATGAAGTCAAATCTGTGCAGCGGCCGGAGCCTGATCATTATTCAGGTCATCAGTTGGTAGTCGCCCCTTGTGAGATGCAATTTTTTGTTTATCGAAACCCAACCTTGGATTTTGCTGGAGGCCCTGAATATAGCTGGGCCACAAATGTAGCCATAACGGATGAAAGGGGTTTCCACAACATCTACAGAATAATTTAAAACACTGAAGGAGGCCAAGAGTAAAGTAGGGTATCTGTCAACCTGTTTATTAAGCAGTCAGAATAAGATTAGCTTAATACACACTTGTTTGTCATTATTGTTGTGCTGTGTTGTTGTTGTTGTTGCTGTGTTAGGTTACAGATGATTTGACAAATATATCTTGAAAGGTAGACTAAAAATAAGTTATGAAAATACAAATAAATTGACAAGACCAATAACAGATCAAGCAGGTGTAACACTAGACACACACAAAATTATTAAAAAAACAGATCAATTTATTTATTTTGGTAGTAATTTTGATAGTGAAGGAAATGTAAAAAAATAAATTATGAGATGGATAGGTAAGGCATCGGTAACTTTTAAAAGCTTGAACAAAATATAAAACTCTATATTGCGTGGTTCTAAAATCAGTTTAAATGTTATTTTACTTTTAAAGTATACCAGAGGACATTGGAGAACCATTAAAGACATGAAATGAAAGTTAAATGCATTCGAAAACCAATGTTTGATGGAAATGATGAACATAAAATGGGGTGAAACCAAAAGGACCGAAGAAATCATAAAAATGTGTGGGGTCCACTTGTATGAACAATTATAAGACAGATAACATGGCACTATATTTGGACACATTCCGATAAGAAATGAGCAGAGAATCACTAAACAGGCACTAAAATTGTAAAGAAAGGGATTACTGTGGTGAGGATGCCCAAAAGAAAGCTAAAAGATAAATAAAGGGATTACCGAGGTGAGGATACCCAAAAGAAAAGCTAAAAGGTAAATAATGGGATTACCAAAGTGAGGATGCCCGAAATAAAGCTAAAAGGTAAATAAAGGGATTACCAAGGTGAGGATACCCAAAAGAAAGCTTAAAGGTAAATAAAGGGATTACCGAGGTGAGGATACCCAAAAGAAAGCTAAAAGGTAAATAAAGGGATTACTGCGGTGAGGATGCCCAAAAGAAAGCTAAAAGGTAAATAAAGGGATTACCAAGGTGAGGATGCCCAAAAGAAAGCTAAAAAGATAAATAAAGGGATTACCGAAGTGAGGATACCCAAAAGAAAGGTAAAAGGTAAATATAGGGACTACTGAAGTAAGGATGCCCAAAAGAAAGCTAAAAGGTAAATATAGGGATTACTGCGGTAAGGATGCCCAAAGGAAAGGTAAAAGGTAAATAAATGGATTACCGAAGTGAGGATACCCAAAAGAAAGCTAAAAGGTAAATAAAGGGATTACCGAAGTGAGGATACCCAAAAGAAAGCTAAAAGGTAAATAAAGGGATTACTGCGGTAAGGATGCCCGAAAGAAGCTAAAAGGTAAATAAAGGGATTACCGAGGTGAGGATGCCTGAAAGAAAGCTAAAAAGTAAATAAAGGGATTACCGAGGTGAGGATGCCCAAAAGAAAGGTAAAAGGTAAATATAGGGACTACTGAAGTAAGAATGCCCAAAAGAAAGCTAAAAGGTAAATAAAGGGGTTACTGAGAAAAGGATGCCCAAAAGAAAGGTAAAAAGTAAATAAAGGGGTTACTGAGATAAGGATACCCAAACGAAAGCTAAAAGGTAAATAAAAGGATTGCCGAGGTGAGGATGCCCAAAAGAAAGCCTAAAACAAACATTGATGAGAGAGGCCCAAGATGCTGGACCGGATTCCATCCATGATATTGAAGTGATTGTACAAGACAGAACAGAATGGAGGAATAGACTATGAGCCCTGTATGACATTCAGTGATACAACAGGAAAGTGAATGTGTTAGATCTGCCTCAACTCACTCGTGGTTGCACTAATAGGTACAGTTATTCACAGTTCAGTAGCTCAGTATATTCAGGCTAAAGTGCTATTATATTTTACCCATGAACACTTGAATAAGCATATATAGGAAACAACTGGGCTGCTATAGTACAGCATATGATCTGTTTATTGGGGTCTAACTATATGAATTCCTCAGATAAAGCCCCTCTTGTGTGATCACTGATTACTAGGATCTGATTATGTGGTGATTTCTGTGTATTTGATCTTGCAGACATCCAACAGTTTATTTATGACGCTGGTTGCTAGGAACATGTAAACAGTCTGTATCTAAGGGCTGTTCTGTCCACAGATACTGCCACAAGGAATTTGTGGCTTACATTTGAGAAAGTCTACTATTGATTATTGAATTTTTAGGTCATGCTGTAAACACCCTCTTTATGGGCAGATTTTTCAGGTTAAGGTGTTCACTCAACCATGTTACACTGACAGGTCTGGCAGCAATTTAAATTACATAATACAGGGTGTGCTATGAAGAGCAGACCACATAAACAATATTTAAAAACATATTTCATAAAAATATTATACAATGAAACCCGGTGCTTTTGTTTTCTATTTTAACAAAATGGTGCCCGCACCCACAGTAAAGTGTCTAAAAAGGGTTGCCAGAATTCACTACAAAGTGTTTGTTACAGTAGTGCCTTTAAAAAACATGTACAAAAAAACCATAGTTGCCAGTTCTACTTACCATCAGGAAAAAAACCTTGGATCGACCCAACTCTTGGGTCACAGCTGGCTTTGTAACCATAGAGTGTCTCAGCATATCTTGTAAATGGCTGAATGGGGTCTCTGGGAATTTCTCCTGTTGAATTCAAATCTGAAAAGTGACACTTTGAGTCATGTGTGTGAGTATTTAATTCTGCAGTCCTGGGGTGAACAAATGTTTTTAAAAAACAACGTTAACAGTCCTGAGTATCCAAGCCATAATGTTCATTAGGAATTTAGCTTCCATCCAACAAAACTAGCGTATGCCATTATTTAACACAAGGCAGGGACAAATGTCACCTGTATTACCTCATTCATTGTCCTGTAGTCCCTCCATTCTGTTCTATTATGTGCAATCCCTTCGATATCATGCATGGGATTCAATCCACACCTTTGCCCTCTTCCATCAACGTTTATTTAAGGGTTTCTTTTGGACCGAATACTTATAGGTATAAGACATAAAACGGAGGATTACAACACTTATCAAGATTAATTGCTACACTGTTTGAGTAAACCATTGCATGAAAACAATGCTAGTTTGATACAGTGTTTAAAGAACACTGCAACTAGGTGATCGTTTCACTGATAGAAGGTTGATTGAATCTAACACTGAACTGGTGTAACACTGAATCAATACAAAAGTGAATAATTATTACAATGAATGAGTATAACAATACATGAATACAACAATGAATGAATATAATAATACATAAATATAGCAGTGAATGAACATAACAGCATATTATTACAAGAATAAATGTTGCATAAATACAACAAATGAATTAACACAAACTTCAGATGGAATCTGCTAACTATTTTAATTTCTTTCTTTCAGATTGATAAACAATTCAATCATGGCGACCCAGTTTCAGACAAAAGATATAGGAGGGTACGCATATACTCGACCTCGAGGTCCAATCGCAGCCCAGTATAACAGCCCTGGGCCTTGCTATATGCTTCCGACTTTAGTAGGGCAACCAAAACATGACTTCCGCAGTGTTCACCCCAAGAAGCCTGCATGGGTGATTTGGAATCCGACATGGCAAACATCAGGTTTGTCTACCTTACTATAAATATTTTATGGTTCTATAATGGTTTGTATATTTTTGACTGCCATGAGAGTGACAATCCAACCTACTTGCTTGTCAGGAAAAATCAAATGACGTCTCGGGATGCCAACCACATAAAACAGGCAGAGCAATGTGAATAATGCAGTGAAGTCACACAAACATTTAGCATTACAAAGCTGTCCGTGGAAGACAATCAGACAAAAAGTGATATGGACAACACAATCTAAACATAGGTACAGCATCACTAAGGTGTCTGCAGACGTTTGGGGGTCATGGCTTCAAAAGGCTGAAACACTGTTCCCTGGAAGATACATAGATGATCGACTTCTGATTTCACTGGATCTCTGCACCGAAGTACAGGAGCACATCTACCAGTGTAGTTAGATAAATGTTACTCAAACACACAATATTAAAACATTGTGACAATTCTTGCCAAATGTGGCCAGAATGGTACATGAATTGTCAACTCAGCAAAACATAATCTGTTCATTGGAATCCAGCGTGGAAAAGTCTGACCTCCATCGTCACACAGTAAAAGGAACTGAAACAAATAACTGTGGCACGCTCATGTTATGAAGGACTAATTGTTGTAAGGTTGCAGAGGTCGACTCTACTCTGATGAGGATAGGAAGTATCTCAGAGTATAGTATAGAGCCACTCAGCAGTAAGATCAACTACAACAGTTAAACAAGTCAAGTAAAGTTAGTAATTGAAAGTTCCTCGTACATGAGCCATGAGCCACACAAGTTCACCCAAGGAGCTCCCCCAACACAGCTGCAGCCGTCACCTAATATTGAATGACAAAGATATTCATGCATGTTGGCACTCAAAACGGAGACGCAAAACATATAGAACTCTTTACATTGTCATCACCACCAATTTCAACAGCATAGCAGTTTAATAAATAAGCTTGGTGCATCTAGATGATAGTACAAAGGATAGCACTCCCTGGGAAAGCAGACAAAGAGCATGCTGCTATCAAATACCCACGAGTTCACAACACAGCTGTCTAGTGCAGACAAGCATCACTCTAGTGCAGACAAGCATCACTCTAGTGCAGACAAACAGCTCTCTAGTGCAGACCAGCATCACTCTAGTGCAGGAAAACAGCTCTCTGGTGCAGACAAACAGTTCTCTAGTGCAGACAAACAGTTCTCTAGTGCAGACAAACAGCTCTCTAGTGCAGACAAACAGTTGTCTAGTGCAGACAAACAGTTGTCTAGTGCAGACAAGCATCACTCTAGTGCAGACAAGCATCACTCTAGTGCAGACAAACAGCTCTCTAGTGCAGACAAGCATCACTCTAGTGCAGACAAACAGCTCTCTAGTGCAGACAAACAGTTCTCTAGTGCAGACAAACAGTTCCCTAGTGCAGACAAACAGCTCTCTAGTGCAGACAAACAGTTCTCTAGTGCAGACAAACAGTTCTCTAGTGCAGACAAGCATCACTCTAGTGCAGACAAACAGTTCTCTAGTGCAGACAAACAGCTCTCTAGTGCAGACAAACAGTTCTCTAGTGCAGACAAACAGTTCTCTAGTGCAGACAAACAGTTCTCTAGTGCAGACAAACAGTTCTCTAGTGCAGACAAGCATCACTCTAGTGCAGACAAACAGTTCTCTAGTGCAGACAAACAGTTCTCTAGTGCAGACAAACAGTTCTCTAGTGCAGACAAACAGTTCTCTAGTGCAGACAAACAGTTGTCTAGTGCAGACAAACAGCTCTCTAGTGCAGGCAAACAGTTCTCTAGTGCAGACAAACAGCTCTCTAGTGCAGACAAACAGTTCTCTAGTGCAGACAAACAGTTCTCTAGTGCAGACAAACAGTTCTCTAGTGCAGGCAAACAGTTCTCTAGTGCAGACAAACAGTTCTCTAGTGCAGACAAACAGTTCTCTAGTGCAGGCAAACAGTTCTCTAGTGCAGGCAAACAGCTCCCTAGTGCAGACAAACAGTTCTCTAGTGCAGACAAACAGCTCTCTAGTGCAGACAAACAGCTCTCTAGTGCAGACAAACAGTTCTCTAGTGCAGACAAACAGTTCTCTAGTGCAGACAAACAGTTCTCTAGTGCAGACAAGCATCACTCTAGTGCAGACAAACAGTTCTCTAGTGCAGACAAACAGTTCTCTAGTGCAGACAAACAGTTCTCTAGTGCAGACAAACAGTTCTCTAGTGCAGACAAACAGTTCTCTAGTGCAGACAAGCATCACTCTAGTGCAGACAAACAGCTCCCTAGTGCAGACAAACAGCTCTCTAGTGCAGACAAGCATCACTCTAGTTCAGAGGGCTTCACTAGACCCACCATGGCTCTTGCTTCACGTACCTGTCACTGGGTTTAGGTGGAAAAGCCCCCATGACTGGTTTTACTCCTGTGTAACTCCACACTTTGCTAGGCAAATTATCAAATATGTATGTGTGTGTGTGTGTGTGTATATATATGTATTCCAGTAAATATAGAATCAACACACAACATTATTCAGTACTTGTTACTTGTGTCTATATTGAAATCCCAGCAAATCAGTCAGACCCAATTATGCTCTGTCCTCCGATACAATAGCCATATCAGTGTCTCCATGCTCACACTACGCAGTAAGAGTTGACTGGCATATCTTATGTCTTTGGCTATAACTGGTTTCTACTTGCTTATCCTCGTTTGACCAATGGGCGGCTCATTGTCTCTGACTCTCTCATCTCAAAATCTCTAGAGCACAGCACATTCAGAATGTCTGCCCTGTCTATACTTCTTCCTCCACTAACCACTGCAGACGCTGCAAATCTGTCAGCTGTTTCATTTTCTTTCACTCCGGCATCATCCAGTGTGTACAGCCAAGATAGATTCTCGAGGTGGGACTTCAGGATGCTGACAACCCTTTCTAGTTTGCTAGTTTTGATCTTCTTAAGCATGGTAACTTAGTCTGTCACTATCAATGCATGAGCTGCTTTTTGTTCTGCCAGCTGTACAAGTTTCCCTGTGACAGCTGCTAACTCCATCAACACGCTGGAAGTAGTTGAACCGAATGCCTGACTTTTGTCTTTTACTGCCTTCCCATTCATCTTCCTACCCAGACTGCACCCCATGAAACACTGAGCCATTTGTTTATATTATAGCATCACCTGATCGAGTCTTAAGACTTGGAGTGCATCTGCCTGAGAGGCAAGAAACTAACACTTTGCATACACATAAGTCACATCTGTCAAATGGATGTGCACACAACATTCAGGTTCTGGAACAAGACTAAGGTCCAGAGGTGGACAAACAACCAGAATTTTTTCCACAGAGTTTACAGCCAGTGAATGTGAGGAAGAAGACTCACAGATGTTGCAAAACAATACTTTTGAACAAACCAACAAAGTCTGAAACCACTTCAACCACTTTCAAAACATAACATAAACTTTGTCAAGAGCATCCCTTTGGTTGTGGTCTCCATATTGGTTCTGTGTGTATAATACTGTGTTTTGTGTGTGTGTATGAGTGTGATATGTATGAATGCATCTGTATTTGTATATGTGTATGCATGTGTTTGTATGAGTACATATGAGTGTGTATAAATGAGAGTGTGTCTATGGGAATATGTGAGTGTGTGTGAGCACATTGATATATATAAGTGTTCGTTTGCATGCATGTATGAGTGTCTGTATGCATGCGTGAAAGTGTATGTATGTATTTCTGCGTGTGTACGTTGTATGTTTCTATGTATGTATGTATGTGTGTATGTATGTATGTACGTACATACGTATGTATGAAAGTTGAAAGCTTGGAAGGGCTTTATGTAAGAAGGGCTTGCTTGCCCAATTTGTGACTCTTTATTCATTCATCATAATAACTTCTATCTTCAGGATGACTGCAGCCCAGGACCCTGTTACCTACCACAAGACAAGTACTATCGAACTGGTCCTGATGGAGCACCTCGGTTTTCCTTGTACGGCCGGCCCAGAGATCTAACTACATATAAGACTCCAGGACCTGGGGCTTACAAACCTGAAAGTGCCGGAAATCTTTACGGCCCTTCTCCACCTAAATTTAGCTTTGGGGCTCGCCATCAATACCGAAAGACGGATGACATCCCAGGTGAGTTTGTGATTCAATCTGCACCTATAATTAATTGCTCTAAGCTACATGTTTTAGTCAGTTCCAGGGGACCAAGAGGTGAAGAAATACTAGCATTGGATAGGACGCATTTTGAGAAAACCAGAGACCAGTATAACTAGAATGTTTTTGCACTAGAACCCACAGGGGCGAATAAATAAAGGTACACCAAAACACATGGAACAGAGAGCTGGAGGGTTAACTTAAAAAAGATGGGAAGGACATCGGGTGAGCTGCATGCAATAGCGAAGGATAGAACAACTTGGCATGAGTTGGTTGAGGGCCTATGCTCCACTGGGATAGAAGGCAGAAGAAAAAGACATTTTATGCAGAGCTTGATAGCTATTGCAGGTCCTAAGCTTGGATGAGAAAGAAGGAGGGCTGGGCATTAGGTCCCCTATGCAACCCTGTAAAAAGAAGTGTTCTGCACAAAACTCATACAACAGGAATGGATGATGAGGCAAGGATGTCTGAAAGAAATACTAACATAAATGTTAATGGGAGAGGCTAAAGGTGCCAGACTGATTCAATCCATAATACAGCAATTATTGCTGGAGCTAAAGCAGAGTGGAAGAATAGCCTGCTGGCCTTATATGACATAAAACAGCACAAAAGAATGGTGACAAATGATGTGGTAGCCCAGTTGACAGCCACTTGCCTTCCTACTTGGTAGTCACTTGCTTTGAGGCAGGGAATTGTTAGTGATCTAGACCTCCAGGCCAGCCTTAAACAGGAAAATCTTCCAGGATGTATAAACAAATGAACAAAACTGTATTTTTCAAGGGTCACCAATTGAGCACGCTGGACCTTATAGACGCTTATCTTTTAAACATCAACTATTATTTTTATATTATGCTTATATAGCAAACAATCAGTCATCAATCAATATATAGCAAATACAAAAGATGTGCATAGAGAAAGGTAAAAGGTAAAGTCAGGAGATGTGAACCAGTGTCATTGCACATGGTTATAAACCATTAATGCTCTGCCACCAGTACGGACAGTTAATAAGAAACTCTCTGCCTGTGTCGCCGTCTGCACGTAACTCCATTGCTACAGTGACGTTCCTTCATTCACCCCAGAGTGTCAACTCTGGTACCCATTTTCTAAAGGCTGGGTGAACCCCGGGAACCGCTCGGTTTCAAACACCGACCTTGGCTGCAGCGAGTCGCAGCTGGATTTGAAAGCGAGCCTCCTATCGACTGCGCTAACATAGTTCCGAGAAAGTACAAAGCATTTAAGGCAAATACATACATGCACTGCCATAAATACTCATGCATACACATGCACTGTCATAAATACTCATGCATACACATGCACTGTCATAAATACTCATGCATACACATGCACTGTCATAAATATGCATGCATACACATGCACTGCCATAAATACTCATGCATACACATGCACTGTCATAAATACTCATGCATACACATGCACTGCCATAAATACTTATGCATACACATGCACTGCCAGAAATACTTATGCATACACATGCACTGCCATAAATACTCATGCATACACATGCACTGCCATAAATACTTATGCATACACATGCACTGTCATAAATACTCATGCATACACATGCACTGTCATAAATATGCATGCATACACATGCACTGCCATAAATACTCAAGCATACACAGAAAAGTAAACACAGCCAGCCTGTGATTGTCCACATCTCTCATTTAAAGCCAATCAGTCTAAAATTATGAGTGCTTACATTATCCACTGTTTCATGTATGTGTTGATCTGAAGTTTTAGAGTAACCAGCATGTCTTCCTGTTTATAAAAACATAGGATTGCTTTTGCCTATTGCCACATATTTTAATGTGTGTTGGTTAAAATTTACAGAAAGTGCACTGCCCATTAATTAATTATGTGCCTAATTTCAAGCAGATGCCACGCTATGAGTGAATGAATATATGAACTTCGCTGCACTCAGGATATTCCCACACATGCTCTCTCCCCTTCTTCAGTAGCCAATGAAGAATTGACATACTACTAGTACCAGTTGCAGCCTGACTGAAAGTCCTCCCCTGTTTCCTTCTTTCCTTCTCAGTGTTGAATATCTTTCAGAACCTCCACTCACCCCCCTTGAATTAGTCTTTCAAAGTATCCCTTCTCTCTTCTAAATCTATGACAGAATTTGCCACTATCCTATTGATAATTTTATCTAGTTTCCAGAAAATTCCCTCTTTAGCAAGCATGCCAGGAAATTAAATTTGCAGTCTTCTTCTTTACTTCTTAGTTTTCACCAGCTGTATAAACTCCCGTAGAAAGTTCTGGTTCTTCGTCCTTATATCTGGACTTTGCTCTGATTCCAGAACTTAAGTGTACACATCTGTTCGATAGATCTGGCTTATTTGCAGACTGTTGGTTTCTTGCCTCCCATGCATCTGCATGACAACTTTAAAGGAGAAACCCATAATTAATGGCCTTTTATGACACGTTTGTTAGTGAGGCAATGGGTTTACTCATTTCATACCAAAATAAGGTCTTGGAACTCAGACAGGTGACATTCTCCAGTATATTGTTGGTGTCTCTGGTCGATCCAGCCTTCAATGTACAGTCCTGGGAAGTAAAGGCAGCAGGTATGATACTGATCACACAACCCTCAGATAGCCGATTGGTCTATAAAATTTAGATCTTGCCCTTTGTGCCCAATATGCCCTAAAGTGTCAGAAAGTATCCTTTTATATTATCTGTGGCCTTTTTATTGGGATTTATAAAAGCAAAATATTTGTTTGAAAAAGTAAAAAAATTTAGTGCACTGGTAATGCTCATACTGGCCAAATGACATGTTGGTGATGTCACAAATATACCACAAATGACATGTTGGTGATGTCACAAATATACCACAAATGACATGTTGGTGATGTCACAAATGACATGTTGGTGATGTCACAAATATTCCACAAATGACCTGTTGATGATGCTGCAAATATACCACAAATGACATGATAGTGATGTCACAAATATACCACAAATGACATGTTTGTGATGTCACAAATATACCACAAATGACATGTTGGTGATGTCACAAATATGCCACAGATGACATGTTGGTGATGTCACAAATATACCACAAATGACATGTTGGTGATGTCACAAATATACCACAAATGACATGTTGGTGATGTCACAAATATACCACAAATGACATGTTTGTGATGTCACAAATATACCACAAATGACATGTTTATTGTGTCACAAATGTACTTTAAATACCACAAATGTATCACATTAGATTTGTGATTCCACAAATATATGGCATGCGACATGTGTTTAATGTCACAAATGAATTACAAATGACAAGTTTGTGACATCAGCTTGATGATCTCACCTTGTCCATGATCTTGCTGGTTTCTTGCTACTGACTCTGTCTATCCAATTGATAAGTTATTTTGTAGACTTAATTACAGTGGGACTTGTTTTGACCCAGACCTGTTTACAATCCTGATTTGTTTATAATGATTTCTTTTTTTTCTTTATATATATATATATTGAATTTCCCTTCAGGTCCTAACCAATACACTCTGCCAAACATGACTGGCAAAACAGTGGAGTCACATAAAAAGTCTTCCCCAAACTTTACTTTGGTTGGGCGCTCCAAACAGGGTGGTTTTGATGAGGATCTGTCTAGGGTGAGTTTAAAATTATATTTTTTTCAGCGTGTAATTAATTTGAGATGTAAATGGAATAAATAGTTGCATCTCATGTTACATCTAACTTGTATCTCATGCTTTAATGACAAAATTGTGAAACAAAATTGTTGCCCCGCAAATTTTGGTTAAAATATCATTCATTTAAAAACTGTGTTGGATAGACTGGTTATTAGAAGCCATGACACTGCACTTATGCCATTCCCATAAGTGCTTCATCTTACTCAGCTGATACGAAAGTGTGGGCATGCAGCCTCCCTCACTGCACTCTGACTGGACACACAACATGTAGCAATAGTTGCAGCCTGTATTTTAAATGCTTGAGTCTTAGAGGCATACACAAAACTTGCGTTGATTGCTTCTACCATTAAAGATGTTTCTGTTAAAAAATTGCCTGGTTAAGCTCCCGCTTATACAGGTCAGCATCCATGGCAGAGGTATTATGAACATGCTTCATAATTCTGAGTTGCCGGCTTTGATCTGACTACAAGCTTTATGGCAGCAGACCACTTTGTGTTGGTTTCAACAGTGGTATCAAGAGCCAAACATTCGAAGGTAGTGGCAAACTACTCAACATGTAACTGCATAATGAAATCACAAGCAGTCGAGAAAATGCTGGGGTTGGTTCTGCAACATCCTGTAAAGGAAAGGCAACTTTTTTTTTAAAATATAGAGCAATACTTAAAACAGCTTTTGAAGATGTTTCAGTACCACAGGCATACCACAGGCATCATGTTTTTTTTTTTTTTTTTTTTTTCAATTTTTAAAAAATTAATTATTTAGTATTTTTTTTCTGACTGATGCTATGTCAGTTCTACAAGTAATTATCAAACCCAAAGGACACTCAGTTTGTAGATTTGACGCAACAGTGGATTCACCTAGATTCTTCAGTAGAACAGTCTCTACTGCAGTGGATTCACCTAGGTTCTTCAGTAGAACAGTCTGTACTGCAGTGGATCTCACTTCACTGTGGCTCAAAAGGCAGTGAAATAGCAGACAGTGGCAGTACAACCAAATATTGACTTAACCCACCAAGAGACTAAGATATTTATTTAATCTAGTTTCCAAGAAAGGTGGCTGGATACACACACCAAATTCTCTGCTCAAGACTCGCTTCATTGACTCTCTAGAGAGGGACAATGTATTAAATTCAGACTAAGAACAGGGCACAACAAACTTTGTTAACATATGTTCAAATTTTTCAATGTAGAAAACACGGATTTGTGTCCCTGCAGCGTGGCATCCGAAAATGCTGAGCATGTGCACCAACACTGCCAACTGTTTGCGGACAACAGAGATGCAATCTGGCCTGTTCCAACCACAATGAAGACAAAACTGAATGGTACACAAAAAGATATGGACTGCATGATAGTTTTTAATAAAGGCTAGCGGCCTCCTGGTATACGTTTTCTGACAGAAGTATCAAAGAAGAAGAATTTTTTTTTTAATTTTATATTTCGACACTGAATCATGGATGACAGCTTTTGAGAGATGGCCTGCTGTAGACAGATTGGTAGAATACCATGGACCAAGAAGCAAAGAAAGGGACATCCTTCAAGATCTGAACATTAAAGAGGGGAAAGCTCATAAACAGCATCTTGTCTCTGAATTGTTGCCATTTTGCACTTTTTCCATATTCTGCATGCTGTCCTTTGTTCATTGTGCTGAGACTGTCAAAGCCTTATGGGGAGGTCTGAAAGGATGTTCTGCTGATATGTTTATCGTTTTCTTACGCATACTCTCATATCTGAGCACCTGGAGTTTCAAACGTGTGGTAAAAGAATGCTGCTTACTGTCTTTTTCTATACTGCGGGCAACTATGAAAATATTGGTACGTGTTCTCCTACCTTTGTTGCATAGCATACAGACTCACTTTAAGCTCTGTTTAAAAAAAAAGAAAGATGTTGATCTTATACACTGACAAATACGGTAAATGCATTCTCGATAAATGCACTGTGGAAACAATTAACGTTGTCTGCACTCTATATCTGCTAAGAAGACAAACAGTGAGAAAAATATCCTGAGGACTACAAAATGCGTTATAGTTAATAAGTGAATAAATTATTGCAACAAATTTCATTAATTTATAAATGTATTGGCTGCAGACACCAGGACCTGGTGCTTACAAAGTGACACCTACAACTATTTATAAGAATGCACCACCGCAGATCAGCATCAGCAGTCGAAACCCCATGCCTGGAGACAACACACAAAAACCTGGACCTGGAGCTCACAGTCCTGAGAATGTAAGTGTACCTCAGAGTTGTAGCCCTGGTTTGTAAGCTATGAGAATGTAAGTTTACCTCAGAGTTGTAGCCCTGGTCTGTAAGCCTTGAGAATGTTAGTGTACCTCAGAGTTGTAGCCCTGGTTTGTAAGCCATGAAAATGTAAGTGTACCTCAGAGTTGTAGCCCTGGTTTGTAAGCCTTGAGAATGTAAGTGTACCCAATAGTTGTAGCCCTGGTTTGTAAGCTATGAAAATGTAAGTGTACCTCAGAGTTGTAGACCTGGTCTGTAAGCCATGAGAATGTAAGTGTACCTCAGAGTTGTAGTCCTGGTTTGTAAGCCTTGAGAATGTAAGTGTACCCAAGAGTTGTAGCCCTGGTTTGTAAGCCTTGAGAATGTAAGTGTACCTCAGAGTTGTAGCCCTGGTCTGTAAGCCATGAGAATGTAAGTATACCTCAGAGTTGTAGCCCTGGTTTGTAAGCCTTGAGAATGTAAGTGTACCCAAGAGTTTGTAAGCCATGAGAATGTAAGTGTACCTCAGAGTTGTAGCCCTGGTCCGTAAGCTATGATAATGTAAGTGTACCTACATTGTGTAGCTATAGTCCACAAACTATGAGAATGTTAATGTGCCTACATTATGTAGTTACTGTCTACAAATTATAAGAATCGAAGTGAATGTAAGACTAGCTATACTTTAAAGCTATAAGAGTATAAATTGTAGCTATAGTCCACAAACTATGAGAATCTGAGTCCACCTCAGAGTTATAGCTAAAGTCTACAAACTCTTAGAGTCTGAGTGTATCTAAGTCTTGAAGCTGTAATCTATAAACTTAGAGAATCCAGATATACCTCATACTCATAGTTATAGTCTACAGACTGTGTTTAAATGTATCTAAGTGTTGTAACTGTAGTGTACAAGTCATGAAAATCTAAGTATATCCAACATTTATAGTTGTTGTCTGCAAACTATGATAATATAAGCATACCTGAGAGCTGTCTAAAAAGTCTAAAAACTAAGAGAATGTAAGTGTATTTCAGAGCTGAGGCAGTAGTCTAAAAACTAAGAGAATGTAAGTTTATCTCAGAGCTGAGGCTATAGTCTAAAAACTAAGAATGTAAGTGTGTCTCGGAGATTAGGTTATAGGCTAAAAACTAAGAATGTAAGTGTGTCTCGGAGATGAGGTTATAGGCTAAAAACTAAGAATGTAAGTGTGTCTCGGAGATGAGGTTATAGGCTAAAAACTAAGAATGTAAGTGTGTCTCGGAGATGAGGTTATAGGCTAAAAACTAAGAGAATTTAAGTGTGTCTTAGAGTTGAGCCTATTGTCTAAAAGCTAAGAGAATGTAAATGTGTCTCAGAGTTCAGGCTTCGTCTTCTTCTTTTTCTCTTCCACCTTGTACCTCATTGAAGTTTCGGGGGAAGATGTAATGTTAGTTGATGAGCTCTGTCAAGAACACTATTAAGACTGATGTTCATTTCTGTAAGGCTGTTCTTAATGCCATCACTCCATCTTTTCCAAGGTCTTCCACTTGCTCTATACCCGTTGTAATTTTTTAGTGTGGCTCGCTGTGGCAGACAGAACCAGGGCATTCTTGTTAGGTGTCCAAACCACTTCATTTGTTGTTATTTGATGACGTGTAAGACTGGCTTTATTCCTAGCATTCGTCTGATTTTATGATTTCGTATTCTGTCTTTCCTTGAAACTCCTGCAGCTCTTCTAAGGCATTTCATCTCTGTTGTCACAATTTTATGTTCATTGGAGGATTTAAGTGTCCACGTCTGGCATTGATAGCATAGGGTTGGCCAAAAAATAGTTCTAATAAGATTTACTTTAGTACTCTGAGGTATCAGGCTATAGTTTAAAAACTAAGAAAATGTGTGTCTCAAAGCTGATGATATAGTCTAAAAACTAAGAAAATGTAAGTGTGTCTCAGAGCTGAGGCTATGGTCTAAAAACTAAGAGTGTATCTCAGAGCTGTAACTGTAGACCATCATGAACACAATCTATCGAGATTAAATCACTTAGCAACACAGTCCTTCATGCTTCAATCACTTACTAAAATAATCCGTTTAGCTTCAATCACTTACAAACACAGGCTTTCTATTTTTAATCATTTACCACAATAACCCTCCTAATGCAAATCAAGAAGACCATCTTTCTAGTTTCAATCATGTACCAACACAGTTTTTCCAGTTTCACTCATTAACTAACACAATCCTGGCCAAGTTTCAACGCGGTTACTGGGATCGCTCCACTCCCCTCCTGTGTGGGTTCTGGTGGCCCTTTGTGTAGATCGGGTGAGTTTACTCGCCCCCCCCCAACCTTTCACAACAAGCATGATGTAAAAGATGATTAATTAGGAATTTGCTGAAACTGGATGTGTTGGGCTGAAAGACACAGATATCAGAGCCTATCTGTGAACCACAATACAGTATGGCAACTGCTATTTGATGGGTGAGGAAGATAATCAAAAACCAAAACCAGTCTTGTCTGTTTCTGAAACTGGCACAATCTGTCCAGTTTCACTCACTGATACAATCATTCCAATTTCAATAACATACTAAAAGTATTTCCATTTTCAATCATTTACCACCACAATCCTTCAAGTTTCACTCACTTGCCAAGACAATCCTTCCATTTTTAACCAGGTGCCTAACAGAATCCTTCCAGTTTCCATCGCCAACACAATCCTTTTAATTTCGGTTCCAACACAATCCCTCCAGTTGATTTATTTGCTAATACAATCCTTCCATTTTCAGTCACTTACCAACATAATCCTTCTTATTTCAGTCCAAACACAGTCTTTATAATTTCAGTCATTCTTCTTCTTCTTCTTCTTCTTCGATCCTTCTGTCAGAAAACTTATATCAGGAAGCCAATAGCCTTTATGAAAGCTATCGTGCAATCCATATCCTCTCGTGTACCATACAGTTTTGTCTTCATTGTGGTTGGAACAGGCCAGATTGCGTCTCTGTTGTCAGCATACAGTTGACAGTGTTGGAGCACATGCTCAGCATTTTCAGTCATAAAACACAATTCTTCCAGTTTCAGTTATTACCATCATAATTTTGCCATTTTTACCAAATAATCCAGTTTAAATCACTAGCACAATCCTTCCAGTTTAAATCACTAGTACAATCCTTCCAGTTTAAATCACTAGTACAATCCTTCCAGTTTAAATCACTAGCACAATCCTTCCAGTTTAAATCACTAGTACAATCCTTCCAGTTTAAATCACTAGCACAATCCTTCCAGTTTAAATCACTAGTACAATCCTTCCAGTTTAAATCACTAGCACAATCCTTCCAGTTTAAATCACTAGTATAGTTCTTCCAGTTTAAATCACTAGTATAGTCCTTCCAGTTTAAATCACTAGTATAGTCCTTCCAGTTTAAATCACTAGTATAGTCCTTCCAGTTTAAATCACTAGCACAATCCTTCCAGTTTAAATCACTAGTATAGTCCTTCCAGTTTAAATCACTAGTACAATCCTTCCAGTTTAAATCACTAGCACAATCCTTCCAGTTTAAATCACTAGTATAGTTCTTCCAGTTTAAATCACTAGTACAATCCTTCCAGTTTAAATCACTAGATAGTTCTTCCAGTTTAAATCACTAGCACAATCCTTCCAGTTTAAATCACAAGTACAATCCTTCCAGTTTAAATCACTAGTACAATCCTTCCAGTTTAAATCACTAGCACAATCCACCTAGTTTAAATCACTAGGACAATCCTTCCAGTTTAAATCACTAGCACAATCCCTCCAGTTTCAGTCACTTATGAACACAATCCTTACAGATGAACACAATCCTTACAGATGAACACAATCCTTACAGTACGAATCACTTACAAACATACTTCTTCAAATTTCAGTCATTTTCCATCACATTCTTTCCAGTTTCAATCATTTACCAGCACATTCTTTCCAGTTTCAATAATTTACCAGTGCATACATTAAGTTTTCAGTCATTTCCCAACACAGTCCTTTTGTTTCGAATAACTTCCCAACAGAATCTTTTAATTTTCAATCATTTACTAACATTTTCCTTTCAGTTTTAATCATAAACCAAGAAAACCTGATTGGATTCACATGATATGACTACATGAATAATGTACTTCAGATTTGGTTTAAAAAGTGAATATTTGTGTTCCAGCTTTACCTGACCAGACAGTCAGCTCATGGCTTCACTTTTGGCTTCCGCCACTCTCCGTACAAGGCTACCTGTATGGACTCACGGATAGAAGACTGAGAGAAAAAAGATAGCGAGAGACTAACATAGACTCTGAAAATGAACCTGTCACAAACTGGCAAGTCAAGAAATGGACAGCTATAATTTGTTTTCTCTTACTCCGAGTCATCCTCAGGTTCTTTCTATGAATTGTTATGTTAAAAGTAATTTACTGACTTGTGTACACTCATGGCGAAATTTGTCAGTTTCATGTCTTCTTTTCTTCTTTTGTCAATATCTGCTTATGCCGGTGCTCTCAACACAGCTCAACAGTGACCCAACAATCCAATCATTTGTCTGTGTGTACACACAGACAAATGGTTGGATTGTTGGGGCAGAAACTGTTAACCCAGAATTTCATTATTTCCTCTCAAAAATTGGCTGGCAAGTTAAAATCTACATCTTTAGAAAGAAAGATTAAGCATCACAAGAAGTTGCAAATATCGGCAAGAAGAAAATGGAAATAGCAGAGGAATTTTACACTCAAAAATCATGTTTACAGGAAGCATTAAAAAAAATTAAGCAAAAAGTGCTGTGATTTTGGGATATTTGTGATAACTTTGTTTTTTATCACTTTTGGTGACTGACTTTTTGTCTATGTCAGACGTGCATTCAATGCTAATACATTATTATGCTGTACATTGTGAATGCATTACCATATGCTTGAACTCTTATCTGGATAAGATACATTTCTGATAAAAAAACAAGTATTTCTTGGGTCCCTGGTGAGTTCTTCTTGTCAGATGCGAGCTGTAATAGTTAAGGACCCATTTCATACCAGTGGCGAATTGGGCATGTTATGCTAGACGTATTGTTTTATAGACCACCAACACTCAATGGATGAAGTGACTGATATCACTCTGGACAAAATGAGGTGGCAAATGATTGATTGTTGTAAAGTATTGAATATAATAATTACAAGATATTAAAACATATTGATCTTCCTAGACCTATCTTGCCTGACAGTCTGTAGTTTCACAAATGAAACCATTTGTAAGGAATTCAAATATAGTATTATTATTATTATTATTATTATTTGTTGGATCCAGAAACGAGGAATTGTAAACCCTTTGGCTCGATACTATAAATATTGCAACCCTTCGGCCTTGACTCTGTGATAGATACCATAAATCTTGGAAATATGAGGTTTTTCTGCTTACCCACAAGTGTGAACTGGGACCACAAGGTGTTTGTCACCCGGTTGCTGCTCAGCTGGTTTAACCAACTTAGCTAGCACGCCAGGCAAATATAGTATTAAGACTGTACCAAATATATCAGCATTAGTACAATGTTATTCCACACTTGATAATATGACAAACTTGTGCATACTGTGTTGGTTCCAACGTTCATATTACTATATTATCATTGTGCTTAAACAATATCTGAAATTAAATAGACAATTTATATTCTACCCAGCTTTTGCGCAAAAGAGTTGAACAAGACATGATTTGTGTTTTAAAGGAATCAAAATTACCATAAAAAAAGCAATATGTTGTTTTCATGTGTATCATCGTGAAATCAAGATTAGTTTTGTTTTACTGTCCAGACAACAAGGGGATTTCTGGTAGTGTCTACATTTTTCTGTGGCAAGTCACTTTGTTTGCAAAATCCCAGTGAGTGTTCAGTGAGAATGACGCTGGATTTACTTGTTACATTTTAAAAAGGTAATGAAGGTGGAAAAAGGAATTTTTTCAAAAGAATTTTAAATTTACTTGTTTCAAAAGATTACCTAGGCATTGCGCTATAGCCTATCTCAGGTTACTACTAAACAATGTTGAAATATATACAGTGTTTAAATTTAATCAATGCTATGTCATCCTTAAGTAATGGATTGGTGTTGTTGTCTGTTCTTTGTTTCTCCTTGTACCACACATATAAGTTGTACAAGGTGGAGGTCTTCATGGTGAACTCTGAAGATCAGGGGTTCAATTCACGGATGTTTTGTTCAGTTCTTGAGTGCAGTTTTTGAGGGATAACAGTGTGGATTGTCACTCAAGCTACAGAGTTCGTAATTTGTGTGACACTCTCCGCAGGCAGCTAGTAGTTCTGTGAAGAAAGACTGGCCTATATCTGATAACCTGATACAACGAAGCCAGTCTTCTTGACTTTAAATTCTAGAGAACTTGTCGAGGTGGTGATGAATTTGTTTCAATGTGGATGGGCATGAAGCAGAGTCTTTTCAAGTATGGACATGAAGTATCCGAGGTTTAAGTGCTAAATGCCAATCATCAGACTGAGAGTTTGGCCCGACTGTTTCTAAGTCCCACAAAAAATCCTGGATATGTGATTATCTGCAAACTTCATCACAGGAAAGTCTGTGAATTTCGAGAAAGTAAGAATAATTTGACATGGCTATATGGCAGGAAGGGGCATCTTTATCAAAAATGAAAACGACTGGATGTACATGAGGCAGTAAGCCAGGGCTATTTAATTTGGCTTCCCAGGGGGCTAAATCTGGCCTGTGAATGCATATCAAGTGGCCCATTGATCATTGCCAGTTGCATTGTGCTAATGATCTTTCTGTGCTGGGGACTCTGGCTTCTGGCCTGTGACGATCCCCTGTCTCAAAATGTTGGGCTCTGAGTAAACTTAGTTAAACAGGGCTGTGGGTAGATATAATCTTCAGTGCAAGCTGACACAGACTTTAGGAAGCAGAATAAAATGATGAAATGATCTCATTCCTAAGCCATGTGTCATCTAAGAAAAGATGTCAAGGAAGCTGCAGTAGCACATTGGCTAGCACACTTGTCTGCCAGCCCAGGGGTCATGAGTTCGAATACCCAGAGAGTCTGGGAATTTTTATAATTGACCTGGGCTTCCACTAGGGTTGCCATATCTTGCAAAAAAGAAAATGGGGCGAAGACTCATTGTTGGTTTATAACAATATTTTTGACTACTATTAGGCTATACAGTATTCATAACAAACATACTAAACTCACTGCAAAGGTAGAGAAATGATGGAAAAACAAAATGGATGAATCTGAGGGAAAGGGAGTATCTGGCAACCCTAGCTGTCAGTGATTCTAGCTTAGAATGGGACCCATGTCCTGGCAATTAAAGGTTGCTGGATTGTTAATCACCTGACCCAGTAAGTGCCAACTGGTCTGTTAAAATATGCAGCTGGAACCATTACTCTGAATTATGGAAATTAGACCTTCACTTTGTCAGGACATTTGAAAGACAACTTACATGCAATAGTTTTAAATAGTGACTGTCTTCAAGGTCAAAGCTTCTTACTTGTCTCTAACAAGAGAGAGGAAAGTCTGCTGTGTTATTCTTTGTTACCTTCACAGAGCCCAGTAACTCAGGTTGATAGAAATGCCCAGTTCTGTAACAGCAACAGATCATCGTTAAATGCTGCCCGACTGGCAGACGCTTCTCCACATCTTCTCCTCCTCAACAGTATGCATCACTTCATGTACTGGCACTCTTCATGCTATGACAGAAAGCTATCAAGCATTTTTAATTTTGCTTTTCCTCGATCTCTCTTTCCATAACATTTTCAGTTGTCAAAATTTAGTCCAGTCTTTCACTTTCAATACTGCGGCCAGAAAAGGGTGATTATCTCTTCATGATTTTTTGTAAGTTATTTTTTGTTGTTAGCCTATTTCGGAACATCTGAACTGCTAATTTTGGCTGTCCAAGGAATTTTACACATTTTTCTCTAAAACCACATCTATTTGGCTTCAGTGACTTTTGTTACTTGTTTTTTTGATTTTTCAGGATTGACAGATATATATTCAGATTGTTTCCATGTTGTATGCAAGGATTCTTTTTCTTACCTTCTAAAACACGGATTTGTTGTATAGATACGAGATATGAAATTATAATTTTACGTTATCATTTTAGTGTGCAGCTCTTTTAATATTTTTGCTTTCACATCTTGCTCTTTTTCACCATATGGGTTAAGGTCCCTGTTTTGTGAGGGGAAAAAATAGACTCACTGCCTCCAACATCATCATCATCATTGTCATCAAATGCCTTGCCAACTGGCTTAGGTGATCATGCCTCTCTACAATCTATGATCTTCAGCAGCATGTATCTGTTCATGTGTTGATACCCCTCTATGCCATAAGAAAAGGCTGTCAAAATCATCTTGTACTGCCTTCCTGTGGCTCTTTTTCCCCCCAGATCTTTCCAGTGATCACAAAATGTTCCAGTTTTATTCTACTCTTAACATACCAAAAAAATGGCGACTGCCTCTTTATGATGTTTGTGATACAGTCTTCGAGCCTTCAAATTTTTCAAAACATTTTGGTTGCTCTTCTTTTTTTTTTTTCTGGCTGTCCAAGGAATTCTAAAGATTCTTACAACAATCATATCGTAAAATTAATTAATGATTTGCATGAATCAGAAATGTTAGGCCAGTAGGCACAAATACTGCAGACTAACTGTAAGCCACATCACAACGAAGAAGAAAAAGAAATGATGCTCTTTTATTTCAGACTGTCATTTCTCTTACTTACAATATGTATCCCTTTTGATATGAGCGGTGAGTTTTTACATGACTACATAACTCTAGTATAATTCCTGAAACATTTTTTTTTATTGATAGTTCTATCAGATTATTTCCTGTATCACATTATTTATTGTGATGAATTACATTATTTTATGGAGCTCGTCAACTTGCTTCATGCCACTTGTCAAATTGTTCCATTTATTGTGTCGCATTCTTTCATAGAATTTATCTATTTGATTTTTTTCTTTACTTTTATTTTTTAAATTTCTTACAGTAATTTCTTTGAATTGTGTATGTTGACATAGAAACTGTGTATGTTGACATAGAAACTGTGTATGTTGACATAGAAATTGTGTATGTTGACATAGAAACTATGTATGTTGACATAGAAACTGTGTAAGTTGACATAGAAACTGTGTATGTTGACATAAAATCTGTGTATGTTGACATATAAACTGTATGTTGACATATAAATTGTGTATGTTGACATAAAAACTGTATGTTGACATAGAAACTGTGTATGTTGACATAGAATCTGTGTACATAGACATATAAATTGTGC